ACATAAATTTACCATAATAATGAATATGAAATGATGAATTTAAAAATAGTTGGTTTTGAAAAGGATTAAAATGAATGTACTTATTGCTAATATCATAAATACAAAGCCATAATACATGTAACAAATATCTGCATTTGTCATATTTGCACCATGTAATTTATTTTAAAGTATATTTTCCCTAGTTGTATATTTTCAAAGATATATTTCATAATATATAGGCAGTACATAAAGCCATGGAAGAAATGAAGAGACCACTGCTGTCATGAAGAATGATGGTTATATATTGTAATGGCAGATATCAGTCTTTAAATTAAAAACTTATGAGCTATTACTGTTGTTATCATGATATTTGTACAGAAAAATGTACTTTTAATTCTACCAGGCATTAAAACAACCAATCCAGGGCTGCTCTCTTCATTTTTCCCATACTGTATATTAATAGTTCAGTCGGGCAGCTGTTCTCCATCACTGGAGAGGGGGAGTGTCGCCACATTGCAAGATCACAACGTATTACCCTCGTTTAGAAATACTCCGTCATGTTATGAACTAATACTTCATGACAGCTTCGGTACAAATGTCAGAAAATGATGGAAAGTTTGTTTGACTTCATCGAGACGGCAGAAAGAAAAAAAAAAGAAGGAAAAACGCTTCATATTAACAGAAGCCTTGTTTGTCAAAATCGGGAAATATTTGTGAAACTTAAAAGCCCGGTTTAGAAAAAGAATGAATTATAAATTAATTACTTTAGATCTGTAAGGGTATATCGCTAGATTAAACGGAAGAAAGAAGAAGAGAAAAGCATCTTACCTCCATAGTAGTTTATCTCTGGCATGAATGAACGGCCCGGCGAAGGAGGCTGCTGATTGGTCCGTTGAGCAGGATCCTCGCTCAGTGATTGGTCTGTTGAGCGCTGAACGCTGCTCAACCATTGGTCTGTTGAGCAGCGGATAGCTACTTGGGAGAACAGTCGCCTGGGAATACCAGGTGCTGTAAGCTTTTAGGCCAGCAGGAGCTGCTCTCGCTGCAGCACCCTGTCGCCTTTCAGCAAGCGTCTACTTTTGCCTTTCAGTCCTCTTTAAGGCCACAACAAAGCCAACGTTTCGCTGGAAACCAGCAGGCAAAGAGGCACACACAAAACTTGACATTTTATTAAGTCCATTTTACAGTTTTTCTTCTTTTTCCCTCTAGCTTGACTCTGTGTGTTTTGCTGCTTTCAGTTACTTTTCTCTCCCTTAATGTGATTTACAGGCTGCCATCGGAGAGTTGTTTCTTCATTTGCTGGCTTGAATTTGCAGTCAATCTGCTGAGATAGCTTGAAAGTTGCTTGTTTTGTGGAATTTTCCAGTGGAGACAGTCTTGTTGGAATGGATGGGCGGGATCTGAGTAGTTCACTGGGAGAGCATCAGGTCAGAGTGTAGCGTCCCGCTTGAAAAGATGCTCTCTCAAACTGATGGTTCACAATTCCATTTTATTTATTTGCCTTGCTTGTCAACACACCGTAAGAGCTACAAAACACACAAATAAAATCCACATTAATAACTCAGACAGTGTGTTGACTTTTACCCTTTTTTACATCATCAATTTACCATGAATCATTTTTAACCTTCAATTATTACGACCCTTTTTAATCTGGATAATCCTTAAATGTAGTGCTATCACCATATTTTCCATGTATATTTATTAAACCCTTTAGTATACAATTTTATAATGCCTTGTACCATGAAATAAAAGAAAATGCATTACAATGTAGCCATCTGTGACTTCGCTTAGTATATAATGTTACTATTCACAAACATTTGTATTGCTGAATAAGCATGGCAAACTTAACAGAGACCATTAGCACCGTCTGGTGGACAAAAACGTAACTACAACAAATATAACTTTGCACTGTACAGTAAGCTCAGTGAAATATGACTAAATATGCATTCTAAAAACAAACACTGATACAAACCTTGTTCCCTCATCAACCAGGTGCTAAGGATCCTTTGCAAATCAAGATTATTCTGTGACAATATGCCTTTTCCCGTTTTAACTTTAGAACACAGCATCTCTCTGCCTGCCAGTGTTCGTGCCACTGCTGTACACCCAGTGACATTCTATTCACGTCGCTTTCCTGCTCTCAGCCTTTCACAATAAAAGCATGGGCTGTATTACTGCTGTAGCAAAATAAACACTGTGGATTAATTTAAGACACAGATATAGTAATGACGACATTTACATAGAGTAGCTGAATGTACATTCATTTGAGTTTCTTCCTTGTCTTTTTGTCTGTTATAATTTTCCTGCCATCACTAGTATGCAGAGGTGTGAAAAATGCCAATGTTTATTACTGAAGCAGAAATATAAATCCTACTGTTTAAAAATATTCTTGTAGGAGTAGGGATGGATATCGAAAACCGGTCCCTGTTCAGAACCGGTTCTGTGTGTTCCAATTCCATGGCACCGTTTGGCAGCTCGCTTAACGGTTCTTTCAACACTTCCAGGCAGCACCACAGCCTAGCGCTGCGCAGCACGACCTACGTAACATTTTCTACGTAAGTTACGTCACTTTTTGCGCAAGTTACGCACACGGCATAAGGTAAGCAAGTACAGGCGTAAGTCTAGAAAAGCAAAGCAAAACAAAAAAATGGCGTCAAATAACAGGCCATAACAAAGATGAGCTTGAATTAAACAAAACTAAGGAGTCTACTTTTAGAATGTAAGGAGTAGAAAGTAGATAATAGGAAAAAAATTTCAAGAGTACAAGTGAAAAGTGGTCTAAATAAAAATGACTCCTGTAATAGCCCAACATTCTACTTAAGTAAGGTAAAAAAAAAGTATTTGTACTTTGTTACTTGACACCTGTGCAAGCGTGTGGGGATGAGTGCATATGCACCAACAAAATCTCAGGCACTCAGTTTAGGCAAGAACGGCTCAGTTTTTGTCCCACAGCACAAGTCCATCTCCACAATCAAGAGATGTGAACCAAAGCAGCAGGTGGAAACAGCCAGCTGTACAAGTAGGCTGGCTGACTGACTTCAAGTGGCTTACGGCCATACCACCCTGAACACGCCCGATCTCGTCTGATCTCGGAAGCTAAGCAGGGTCGGGCCTGGTTAGTACTTGGATGGGAGACCGCCTGGGAATACCAGGTGCTGTAAGCTTTTTGGCCAGCAGGAGCTGCTCTCGCTGCAGCACCCTGTCGCCTTTCAGCAAGCGTCTACTTTTGCCTTTCAGTCCTCTTTAAGGCCACAACAAAGCCAACGTTTCGCTGGAAACCAGCAGGCAAAGAGGCACACACAAAACTTGACATTTTATTAAGTCCATTTTACAGTTTTTCTTCTTTTTCCCTCTAGCTTGACTCTGTGTGTTTTGCTGCTTTCAGTTACTTTTCTCTCCCTTAATGTGATTTACAGGCTGCCATCGGAGAGTTGTTTCTTCATTTGCTGGCTTGAATTTGCAGTCAATCTGCTGAGATAGCTTGAAAGTTGCTTGTTTTGTGGAATTTTCCAGTGGAGACAGTCTTGTTGGAATGGATGGGCGGGATCTGAGTAGTTCACTGGGAGAGCATCAGGTCAGAGTGTAGCGTCCCGCTTGAAAAGATGCTCTCTCAAACTGATGGTTCACAATTCCATTTTATTTATTTGCCTTGCTTGTCAACACACCGTAAGAGCTACAAAACACACAAATAAAATCCACATTAATAACTCAGACAGTGTGTTGACTTTTACCCTTTTTTACATCATCAATTTACCATGAATCATTTTTAACCTTCAATTATTACGACCCTTTTTAATCTGGATAATCCTTAAATGTAGTGCTATCACCATATTTTCCATGTATATTTATTAAACCCTTTAGTATACAATTTTATAATGCCTTGTACCATGAAATAAAAGAAAATGCATTACAATGTAGCCATCTGTGACTTCGCTTAGTATATAATGTTACTATTCACAAACATTTGTATTGCTGAATAAGCATGGCAAACTTAACAGAGACCATTAGCACCGTCTGGTGGACAAAAAACGTAACTACAACAAATATAACTTTGCACTGTAAGCTCAGTGAAATATGACTAAATATGCATTCTAAAAACAAACACTGATACAAACCTTGTTCCCTCATCAACCAGGTGCTAAGGATCCTTTGCAAATCAAGATTATTCTGTGACAATATGCCTTTTCCCGTTTTAACTTTAGAACACAGCATCTCTCTGCCTGCCAGTGTTCGTGCCACTGCTGTACACCCAGTGACATTCTATTCACGTCGCTTTCCTGCTCTCAGCCTTTCACAATAAAAGCATGGGCTGTATTACTGCTGTAGCAAAATAAACACTGTGGATTAATTTAAGACACAGATATAGTAATGACGACATTTACACAGAGTAGGTGAATGTACATTCATTTGAGTTTCTTCCTTGTCTTTTTGTCTGTTATAATTTTCCTGCCATCACTAGTATGCAGAGGTGTGAAAAATGCCAATGTTTATTACTGAAGCAGAAATATAAATCCTACTGTTTAAAAATATTCTTGTAGGAGTAGGGATGGATATCGAAAACCGGTCCCTGTTCAGAACCGGTTCTGTGTGTTCCAATTCCATGGCACCATTTGGCAGCTCGCTTAACGGTTCTTTCAACACTTCCAGGCAGCACCACAGCCTAGCGCTGCGCAGCACGACCTACGTAACATTTTCTACGTAAGTTACGTCACTTTTTACGCAAGTTACGCACACGGCATAAGGTAAGCAAGTACAGGCGTAAGTCTAGAAAAGCAAAACCAAAAAAAATGCACTAAACTAAACGTCTATCTATTCTAATAATAGTTATACAATTTGAGTCAGGTCTTCACAATATGGCTTCTCACAAAGAAGAAAAAGCAGATAAATATATCCATGTCAGCAGGATGGAAGACGATTTCTGACTACGAATAGTCCCTTATAGCTCCTTATCAATATTGTTATGGAGTTGATAACCCCTAACTCTGTCTGTCTTTTGTTTTTTGTTGTTTTTTTCCCCACAGTTTGGATCAGATTGGACTGTATATTTAACCAAGCCAGATGGAACTTACAAGGAAACTACGCTCAGCAAACTGCTTCCCTTAGCATTTTCCCCCGAACACCTCGCAAAGAACTGACCATCCTTCAGCTGGATGCCCATGCACTCTAAGCTCTGACAGATAAAGAGAACTACATAGTAAAACTTAGTAGTTTTTTCATAGTAAGTTTAGACTTACTATGTACATGTAAACATAACCATACAATTAATGTAACTCATTTGTATCAGGCTAAAGTTGTGTGTCAAGTTTGTTTTAAAGCAGAAGTTGCTGATAAAATTTTTTTGTTTTTTTTATCTAGACATCAGAAGGTAATATTTGCTTATGTCTTATTTTTTTTAGCCATGTATAACCCTGCGGTAATGCTTGCTGTAAGGATTGCTGGACAGAATACTATTAATTAGAAAATGTGTATGTATAATAATAATAATAATAATAATAACAATAATAATAATATTAATACTACTACTACTACTACTAATAATAATAATAATAATAATAATAACAATTATTATTATTGTTATTATTAGTATTATTATATCACTTTATTATTACTTTTTATTAGTATTATTTTATCACTTAATCATTATTATTATTATTATTATTATTATTATTATTATTATTATTATTATTATTATTATTATTATTACTGCATAAATTAGGAGAAAATAATTTGTTTGGATCCACTATAAGAAGGAAAGATTACGTCTGCGTTGTTATGTCATGTGATTTGAAGTGGGCGTGTCCTTTATCAGTTAACCGGAAACATGGAGGCTGTGCTGAGTGATGTTGTAGCTCCTGAGGACCTCAAAGTAAGTTTTACATTATTAAACCTTTTACTTCTTTTCAAACCTAACACTGAAGCCTACCTGGGACTATCACGGATACCCTCATAGCGTTAATTGTCCTGTTTAAAGCCTGACACGGTGGGAAAATACCTCGTCGACACGTCTGTCGCGTCACGTAGCATGCTAATGCTAACGGTCATATTTTGGGTCAAAACACACTAATTTGTTAAGGAAAGTAACGTTAGTGATTTATTCCTGGTGCCAACGGAGGTTTTCCTGTAATATATAACGACAGGTAATAAAAAATGTTATAAAAATCTTTGTTTAAAGATTAAATCCTACATAACAGGATGTTACGTTAGAAGTCAATACTTTAGAAGCTGAGTGACACAGAAATGGTTTCTGTTAACTGGGTTTTAAAACGCGATCCTAATCAAAGTATGAATTTTGGTTAATTATATATTTTTCATTTTGTTTCAGAAATTTGAAAAGAAGTACAACAACGAGCTGCTGAAGGGAGCTGTATCCAAAGAAACACAGTTTGAATATGCCTGGTGTTTAATCAGGAGTAAATACACTCAGGATATCAAGGAGGGAGTGAAGCTTCTGAAGGGTAAATATGTTTTTGTTTAAATATTCTATTATTGATAATGGCAATCCTTTTATTAATCTCAATTAAAGCTAAAGGAAAAGTTCAGTCAGATCTGCAGGCTGCTTTGACGTTTTGACTGTGTTTGTCCCATAGACCTTGTTCACAAATCACCAAAGGATGACCCCCGGGACTTCCTCTTCTACCTTGCAGTGGCCAACTACAGGCTGAAAGTCAGTTAAGTTCCTAAAGTTAATTGAAGTCCTTTTTTTTCCCTTTCATAAGGTGTTTTGTCAGGAATGAAGTGCTGTAGATCGGCCCACCTCTTTGTCAGTTCCTACCCCCATCTTATCATCATTTAGTAATTGATTAGTCGTTAACTCCAGTATAGAGACTTTAAAATGTAGGTTTAGCTGACAGAGCAACCCAATTAGAGCAGTAAATATATCAAAATGGTGAAAAAATATATATAAACATTTTGCTTTTAAGATTTTTTTTTCTATCGATATGCTCTATGCAGAACTCCTGAAGTGGAAAAGTTTTAGTTTCACCTGGTTTAATTTCATATGAAATCTTCTTTAAAGTTGTAGGGAAGTCTTATTTAATTTTCAAATCATTCAATGTACTCTCTATCAGACCATGTTGTCCCAAAAGTTTGAAAATTTTAATAAAAAAAAAATCCTGTCTTAAAATTTGTGGAACACTCATCTGTCAATCAAATTTTTATGGTCTAAGCATCTTGATTCATACGTCGCAGCTAATATACACAACGGTTCAAATAAGAAATAAGTAGGGCTGCAACTAACGATTATTTTAAAAATCGATGAATCGGACAAAAAATATTTTTTATATTAACCTCTTTATTCCAAAATAAACATTTTGGACAGAACAAACAAGCACACAAGTACAGGTTGCTCATTAACTGTACTGGTGCTATATGAAAAATAAATGTTTGTGTTAAAACTACGCAAACTTACATGAGAAATGTAGCTGTACATCCACAAAATATAGGGTACTTTGTTTCATAAAGCGCAAAAAAAAAGACATTTTTGTTTTTAAAAGCCCCTAAGGGGTTCAAACAATAGGCCCCCCATTTCAACAAATGAGGTTTTTTTAGACTAGAAGAGTTCTGCCTTTTAAGACAGGAAAGTATAGCAGTTAAAGTTGCTACTTGAGAAAATACTGAACCATAGAGATAAAAATAGCCCTGTGATTCAAATTATAAATTGTATTTGGAATAAAAATGAGAGAACTAGGAGTGTTAAAAAACACATCCTCCAAAGACAGATATTTACATGGGAATGTGGCAGATAATTGACATATTACTGATCTTGCTGGATTTTATTCTGCTTTACTTCCATAAATTGCAGGATCTTCTTTACTTTATCTTTGCCAGAAGATTTAAACTTTATAAACCTCATAATTTGCAAGTTAATTTATTTATAAAGTAAATGTAAACGCTGCTTAAGCTAATTCAAATGAAATTAAAATTAAAATAAGTAGCTAACCTTATCACTGTCTGTAACCTACTAACAAGGTAAGGAAAGCATCAGATGAGCTACCTAAGAAACTAACGTAACGTTTCCCCACTTTAAAACCAAACAAACATGGTGGTTCCGTGCCATGTTAATTTCTTTTGAAAAAAGTTGCATGTTATCACTTTTTTCGCTTTACAAAGCGCAGGCTATTTTAATTATTGTGATCAATTTGCGCTTCATTTGCAGTCTGGACGCTGAGGCTCTGACTGCAGCGCTGAGAGGGACTCCTGCGGGAGTGGGGGGAGGCGCCCCACGGCAGAGTAGGAACGATACATGCTTTCACGTAAGAGTCTCCAAAAGCCGCCAGTGACACCGAAAAAAGTCGCCAGATTTGTCGCTAGTCGCTTTTTTGAAAAATAGTCGCTGGAGGGGTCTGAAAAGTCGCTGAGTTGGCAACACTGCACCTGCGGCGCTGACTCGCTCTGCCATATTTTTTTTTCTTCATCTTTCAGTCAAGAGGCAGTGATGACGGCGCGGCGGATGACGCAATAATCGCGCGACACAACTAATCGATGATGAAATTCGTTGCCAACGCTTTTAAAAGTCGATTTTTATCGATTTTATCGATTCGTTGTTGCAGCCCTAGAAATAAGCATAATTTACTTTCCCATTGAGTTCCGTCCCAGTGTTCACAGGGATGGATGTCTGTGTCTTCAGCAGGCGTAGAGCTAACAGAACTGGCAGCTTTGCGAGGCAAGGGCTCAAACATGTATGGCTGTAAGCCTTCTACACCAAACCAAGCTTCTGCTGCTCTGGCGTCCTCTTCCACAACATCTTTGTCCACGCTTGCCTCCTCTAAATAAAAATTATGACGTAGGAGACTCATCCACGACCTCCGACATAAACTCTCCTCTTCTTGCATGTTTCCGCTGTCCATAGCGTTCCTTGACAGTGTCGTTGGTAAGTGCTACTTGGTCCCAATGTAGTTTCCCATTGGGAACCTACTAGCACGAAGTTGCTAACTGTTTAGCAAGATGCTTCAGAGACACTGGCCACAACCAAAAAGCTTGCGGACCTTCCACCACAACAACCCCGCCCCTTTGATAAACGACCAATCACATTCACTCGCACCACTCAGGAGAATCCGGAACTGCAACTTTGGGAACAGCCGCGTCCCTATGACTTTAAGGAACCTTTTGCTACCTGATTATTAATCAAAAAAATAATCAACAAATTAATCGATTTGCAAATTAATCCTTAGTTGTAGCCCCTTTTTCTTGTAAACAAACTCTTTTTTTACTGATCCATTTAACCCTCACATGGCATTTTTCTTTTAATTTGATTATTTATTGTATCCTTCCAAAAAAAGATTAAAAACATATTGAATCTTCACCAACCTATTCATTGAATCATGGATAGAAAATATAAAATCCTTTAGATTGAAAGATTTTCATCTCTTCTCTGTTTGGCTGTGGTTTTAATCCAAGTCAGTTATCCTATATGAAAGATTATGAGCTCTGCTGAAGCCGAAATAATCCTGAAAACCTTTCAGAAGACTTCATTTCTTAGAGTAGTACTAAAAAAATAAAGAAAACAAAAACGTAAATGCCAATTTGTCAAGTTAGGAGAGAACATACATTTTTACAGGCACAAACTAAAGCTTAACAATAGCCTAGTGAAGAAATCACCAGCCAACCAAACTAAAGAAAAGTAATCTTACTTTTCTTATGAACTTAAAATCATAGTGTTCTCCCTTCTTGCTGCTGTTCATGATACTTTTAGTCTGCTTTCTCTTCTATAATGCTGCATATTGGTGCTGCTACAGATAGATGTCACTGTGGGGTCATAAAGAGCAAATAGAGCTTTCTAGATGATTGCATAAGTACATTTTGAAGGCAACTGCAGTTTTTCATATTTGATCGTGTTTGTTTTTTCTGTGTGTGGAATATTTAGGTTAAAAAAAACATGTGTCTATATCTTTTTGTGCAACTCGTATACAACTTTTTTTCATTGTAAATTTTTGACTGTTTCTTTTAGGTTGAATACTATTGAATAATGTTCCATGTTTTCACTTTTGCTGTATAAGATGGGTTTTTTTTAAGTAAAATTTTCAGTCAGAAGTTTACATCCACCCATTGGCGATAATCTGATTTTGTTTCTAGACTGTTTTAATCTGGATTTTTTTAAGTGTTTATAAAACAAACTTCATTCGTTTTTATAGTATGTTTGGTACATTTTCTTTCCTCTCTTATTTGTTTCATTGTTCACCAAAACTCACTTCTATGTATTTTGGTCAAAATTCTCAAATCAGAAAGAAAATCTGAGATTTATGAAGCTTCTGATGTGATTCTGTTTGGCTGTTTTACAAGCCTTTGTATCAGAAACGTTGTAGCTTAACCTAAGTCTGATTTATCCTTTCCAGCTCAATGATTTAAAGGTAGTTTTTCATTATTCTGTCCACTATGTTAAATATACAGTTCAGCTGGTTGCAAACAAACCTTTAGCAGGATGCAGCTGGTTTATGCTTTATTCTTAAGGGGGATATACGCTGGGTGCATTAATGCGAGTAAGCGTAGCAGAGCCGCATATGTTCGCCACGCTTATGTTACGCGTCTGGCTGTTTTCCATTTCAAACGGTACAATTATTTGCACTAGATGCTTAATATGCTGGTTCAATGCACATATTACGACATGGATACGCGATGCTGTTCCTAATTTAGAATGACTTTCTAATTTCAAATGTGTAATCGCTCCGGTTTCATCTAGGAAAAAACAGAAACACAACATCACAGTTCACCCGTTTTCAATTTTATTTAAAGACAGAAAGAAATTTTATATTTAGGTCTAGTTTAGAATTGATTCAGAATAGTTTGTTCCATGCAGATTTAAAATAGATAGAGGCACACACATCTCTACCCAGTCAAACAATTATTAATTTATAACATATTAATTCACACGTCACATCTAAACAAGTATTGCTTCTCAGAACTAAGGCGTGGAACCTCTGGGAACTACTGGGCAGCAGAGTTGGTTCCAATCATTTAAACTATCAGTACTAGTTAAAGCGTCATTTATTGATTTATTTATACAGTTGCAGGTGCAGCAGAGTCAAATATTAGACCCCACAGGCCGAGAAGTGCCCTAATTAACAATAATTAGGGGGAAAAAAACGAATATGAAAAAGAGGAATCGGACAGGATTCAAACTCAAAAATCTATCAGTTGAGAGGTATGCATGTTAACCTGTTTGCCAAACAAACAAATATATATTATGTAGCCTGGAAACCAGGATGCATCAGAATTCACCACATTGACAGGACCGCGCCTTCACATATCTGTTATGCATCAGAAGAGCTGTTTATCATATTTTAATTTTAAGGGTCAGGTATGAGTTGTTTTCTTATTTATTTATATTATCACTATCAATATTATTATAATGGAACAAATAAGTTCAGCAATAACTTAATGCAGGATAAGAGCTCAATTGTAGTTCTGATAGCTATCCAGCAGATGCCGCCATTCTAAACTGTTTCTGTGTTGAATTTTTTGCCAGTTGTCTCAAATTGGTTCATTGGATTATGGGGCTTTGAAATTTTCATCACTACTATCACTGGCTTTGATGTTATCACTAAGATATATGACAGTAAGAGCCTCGGAGTTCACATCCTCTATGCTGCCTGAAACGTCCCAAACGTCTTTATGTTTTGACAGCACGAGAACATCTGAATGCATGCACGTTATATTTCAGAAGGACATCAGTCACAGATTTATTGAATAAATTGGGGGGAAAAAACATGTGCAGAGAGGGATGATATCATTTGGTTGTACTGAAAGCATCTTGTGATGTGATTTATGCATTTCTGTGGGGGTTCCTCACCTGCGTTCTGGTACAACAGTGTGCCTGTCTCTGCTGCCTCCCTGACCGTCCTCTGAAGATAACTAATCAAGGTTTTATGGCCTGCAGGTCATAATGATCTTTCTCTTCTTTAACGCCGAACTATCCAACTAAAGTTCACATCAGATCTGCGTCTACTTTTCTTTACTCTTTTTCATCATGGTAGATGAATTTGTTTTTAGAATTTTGTAGATAAGTTTTTTCTCAATTTATTTATTTTTTTTTTTCTCAGGAATATGAGGAAGCCTTGATTTACATCCGGAAACTTCTCAAGAACGAACCCGGGAACAAGCAGGCCGTGGAGCTGGAGAAGCTGATTGAAAAGGCTTTAAAGAAAGGTAAGGGAAGTTTCTGCAACGTAACACTCTGCAAATGTTGAGTGGATCCACAGCAGAGCCTCATGTCTACTTGTCTTCCAGACGGCCTGGTCGGGATGGCGATCGTCGGCGGAATTGGTCTGGGCGTGGCGGGTTTAGCCGGCCTCATCGGCTTGGCTGTGTCAAAGGGAGCAGCCAAATCTTAACCTGGAAAGATGTTTGCTGGACTTATACACTGACCTGCATTAAAAAAAACAAAAAAATAACCAAGTGCTAAAAAGATTTTAGTTTGAAGTTTTTGTGTTTCAACAGACTAAAAGCAAATGGTTTGGTAAAAAAAAAAAAAAAAAACAGGGTTTAAAAAATATTCAGGTTCTTCTGTTCACATAGCATGTCAGTATGAAGTTATTTGTATAAACATCTTAAATATACTAGGTTGACATTTGTTTTCTGTGCAAATGGAATGTATGTCTAAGAGTGTACAGGTTTGTTTCTTTGTTTATGAATAATGGAAAGTATTATTATTTACAAACAGCGGTTTGGCAGTAAACACTTATTCCAGGCTTCTCCTTTCTCCAGATTTCTATAGATTTAAATTAATTAACACATTTAATTGTGTTAGAAGCTTTCCTGACATTCACATTTACTATATTTAATTACGCCTTTTACATATTGATAAATAAAATGACTGCAAGAATATTTGTGTTCTCTGTTGATCTCTAGTTTTCTAATTCAGAGGATGAATTAAAGGAAAAATGGCTTGGAGGTGGTGAAATGAAACCATTTGAAATTAGTTTTTAAAAATAAGGTTGTTATTTTTCCACTTTAATAACAAAATAATCTGGGGGGAAAAAGCAGAGCAGCTGGTGTTTTGTTCCTTTATTAACCCCTTAATGTCATCAGCCGATAAGGCACAACATAACAAAGAATTGGTGAGGAATACAACAAATGGGTATGCTAAGCTAAAAATGTTAAAGTGTTACCTTTAAAAAGCTTCTGCATCTAATGCAAAGGCCTCAAGAACAGCATTTTGAATTTGAGTACTTTATTTATATATATATATAGTGTCTGGGGTTTACAGTTTAGAGCAGTGATTCTCAACCGGGGGAACACGTACCCCTAGTGGTCCGCCGGGGTAAGTATTTTATTTCCTAGGTAGTAAGATAAAATAGCGCTTTGATCTGCATTGAAAAATGAAACAAGCTTTAATCAACCAAAAAGTTAGTTCTTATATGTTTTAGTTCATCTTCAGCTTTGAAAAACATCCAAACCAAGCAGAGGAACAGACTGGATGTAGAGAACAGACTGGGATCAGCTGTTTTTCATACTGAGCTCATTTAGCTCATCAAAGCAGCTCAGGTTTTTTAATGAAAACAGTAAAATTATTCAAGTCACTCTGACTATAATTTTTGTTCTGCATTCTGTTCCCAATTCATCAAGTTTAAATGTGATTACCGGTATAAGGAAGTTAGTCAGAGGAGCTCCAGTTTTGTAAATACAGATTTATAATATGATTTTATATTGTATTTATTTTGATTCCTTACTAACTTCTAGGCAACATATTTATGTTGCTTTTTTCCCCATTTGAGATTGAAAGCATAAAACACCAAAAAAATAATGCTCAAATTAAAAGTAAGACAAATATTTTTTATTTTATAATCAGTTATTGTACTTTCCACTTTTGGACAATCATCAATAATATTTACTGAGGGAGGAACTCATGGTAAGACAAAATGCTCAAAGGGGTACAGAAGTCAAAAAGGTTTGGGAAACACTGGTTTACAAGATAAATGTATGTTTTTATATCTAAAAATACAGTTAAAAAAATTCTCTGGAATTATCGTGCCACAAACACTAACAGTGTAGTTAGTTATTCGCAATATTTAAGCCATAACAAAGAGGATGGAATGACAGTAAATGTTCTTACAAAAAAGATGTTGGCATAGGCTTGGTTCCTGCTCTAAAAGTATATAAAAGTTATTGTCTTAAAAAGCAGTTTTAATGGTTTAAAGTCAGAGTTAGATGCCAGAGAAAGTGATTATTTTTCTGGTTTCTTGCAGAGTAATCCAGCTTTGCACTTCATCTTCCTGTAGCTGCACCCTGCAGGTCAGCAGACTGAAAGCTGGAGACTATCTAATGGACTAATGTGCTTATTTGGAAATATTTACAATCATGAAAAACACAAACAGCCATGGTATGAATGAAATATCCATAATGCTTAAAATTTGATCAGCTGTATAGACAAGTCTCCCCTATTAATCAGGGAATTCTATTTTCAATTCTTGAATTAAAAGATACATTTCTTTAAATATAAGATGAAGGCATCATGTTGTGGTTGCATTAACTCAGAGATATTTGCTGAAATAAAACAGCTGAGATTTCCTGCTGCAGGTAAAGGGAGAGTGTAGAGGTATACAGCTGATAAAGTCGCCTGTCCACCGTTATCCACAACAAAACACTAAGAAAAAATAATGGTTTTCCAATGAAGGCAAATAAGTTGCTTTATTTTAAAGTCTCTGCATGCATCCAACCTGTGCCTCACCGTGCAGGCATTGACCCACATGGCAACAAAGAAATCAAAATGCAACCATTGATCAGATGGAACCGCAAGCAAGAAAAACTATATATAACTTTATATAAAAAGTCTAAAAAAAATTATATAAACTTTATTAACCCCAACAAAATTTTAAACACACCCATAAAGCTCAATATAACCAGTCTGAAGAACTGGTAAGAGTTTATGACAATATATAAAAATAGAAGGAATCCTACATAAAACCTTTTTTCTTAGATATTCATATTGTTTTGTTTTTTTTTTTAAATGTTGCTCTGTTGCTTCTCAGCTCTCCTCCACTGTCCTGGATAAATCCTGGAGCTGCTGCTGAACCCCAAAGCATTTAGTGAAAGAAAAAGGTGTCTGAAAACGTATAAAGAGATATTACACATTAACTAAACATAAAATTGACAGAAATACAAATCCACTGCCCCATTGTGTTTGTGCCAGCAGTTATGCTCAGTGGCTGTAAAGTGGTTTTGTACTGGATTACACAATAACCTTAATTACAGTGATGGTGGCATACACAATGTTCCCAGTGGTATTGCATTTCTACACGGTGATTACACATTAATATCCTGCAGACTGGAGTCAGAACCTAAATGAACATTGGCCCTTTAACTCACTTCTCAATTAGCTTTGCTTTGATAAATCATTGAGGGTAATATGTGTTTTAACAGAATGTGTGTAGGGTTAGTTTGACACGAAAATAACTTTTAGTCCCCTTTTTTTCTAATTCCTAAGAACACATTTACTACTAAGAAGGTTTCCTCTGATCAGTCCCTGGTGAGTTTCGGTGTCGTCAGAGAGGTTAATTATCAACACCTCATGAGGCTGATAATGCCACATACAGCTGATAGCCTCTGTAAGCATTCCTGTTGTAAACCAAGCCGACAATTTGAATCTTTCAGGAGATTGAGACGTGTTTGATTGAACCTACCAGGAGTCGGGGAGCGGGTTTTCTAATCAGACCCATCCACACTGCACTCCCTTCAGTAGTCCTTTCCACCTCTGTTTCTACATTGGCCCAATAAAAGGTGGTGATTAGACGGAATTGGACTATTGCCTCGTCATGATTCTGATAAAAGAAATTTCGGAGTAATTAATCAGTAGCTGCAGATTCCGATAAGAAGGAGACTTTTCCACTAACAAAGGACAAACCATCAGAGAGTCACTAAGTTCAGTTACACAAAGTTCAGCTATGGGCTTTGGCTTTAGCCTCTTGAATTACAGTTATATATTTTCTCACATAACTTTTTTTTTTTTGCACCACTTTATGTCTAATTGTTTTTTTTTTTTTTACTTTTTATTTTCAAGAATTTTTACAACAAAAGAACATTCCCTGAGCCAAGAGCAATGAAATCAATAACAGAAGTACTGATGCCACATATACAATATTTCAACATAAATGCAGCACAATAAACTAGATCACCTGAAACTTTGAATACCCTAAAAGAGAAAACTGCACATACACACTACAATATGTATATATACATACACACAAACCCACACCCCTCTCCTTCCCCTCCAGGGTGCTAGACCCGCAGGCCAAGAATACAACAAGTAAATACTACAAGTAAACAAACAGCAAAAAAAAATACATATATAATATATACACACATACATGTATACATACACATATATATACATATACAAATACATACCTTAGGAATACCGATGACAGAGCAGATTGGAATTTATTAGAATCACTACAGCCCAAAATCATACACCCAAATGTAATTTCACCAAATGCCATCTTTGATTGAACTTGTCCACTTTGAGTTGTAAACATTCTGTCATTTTTTCCATCATATACACTTGTTTTACCCTATTCTTCCACTCTGCTATAGATGGTGACCAATTAGCCGTTGTAGTTTTTTTAGCTACTAATAGTAAAATGTGCAAAATATACTTTTGGTGTACGTTAAAATTGTATGTCTAATTTTTTCAGCAGATGAGACACTTTGCCAATTGGAAAAAGACAGAGTTCAAATAAGAAAACTGCAGTCTCTTATTTCAACTGAATATCTAATTATCTTATTCTAAGTGTAAAATAGTCACTCTATTGGCAGATTATCTTATTTAACTACTCAATATAAGGGTAAATACATGCATTTTAATATATCTTTTTTAATAATTTTAAGATTGCTTTGCAGTGTATGTATAATTATATAATCATTAAGGGTAAAATATAATAAAATTTTATTTTCGCCCCATTTTCACTTACCGGTGGTGAATCTGACATAGTGGAAAAATAGCAAATCCTCTTTTGGAAAATCAGCTTGTATGAGCGATGCAAACGGCAACTTTTACACAGAGCGTGCACGAGCCCATTTCTCCTCGTGCACGCTCTATGCTCTCTCACACACATTTACTAGGCGTTTCCTTTCTTGCATGTGCACTTTTTTTAAAGTGGAGAGGGCGGATCTTTTCAAAAATTTGTGAAATTCCTCTATACCTTTAAAAAGAGTGTATGATTTCTGAAAGATTACATTCAAGGCCCAGCCAAAAAGCACACAAATTATTAGTTTAGGCAATGGTTGTTTTAAAACTATTTATTTTTATTTAGTTTTTTTTTTTTACCCCGTCAGAAATTAAAGAGTTAATTTCTCATTTTGTTTTAGAATGAGAAATTCTAACTGAAGTAAAGCATACATTTTTTTTTTAAACTGTGACAAATCTTAGAAATTAATGTCATTGTGATTGA